CAATAGTGGGGAGGAAAGCACACAGGCTTTTGCCATCAAATATGTAAGCTTTTGGTTTTTCATAGGTACCCTCCAGCAAGTTGAGGTTCTTAATTTGTTAAGAAATTTTATCATAGACTGGTTTTGAGTCTGTGAAATGCTTTCACAATGTCTTTGATGATTTTTATTTTCCTGGTAGTTGAGACTCCATTATAAACTCCATTATTAAGTAAACCTGGATACCTGATAAACCATGCTAGGTTATGACTTATTGGGGCTTATACATGTATATACAAATATGGCAGGATTCAATTTGCTAAAATTTTGTTAAGATTTCTTGATTGCTTTTTAAAAGTTTTTATTGAACTCCAGTTAGTTAACATACAGGTTATGTTAGTTTTAGGTATTCAAATAGTGATTCAACAGGGATGCCTGGGTGGCTCAGTGGTTGGGCGCCTGCCTTCAGCTCAGGTCACAATCCTGGGATCTGGGATTGAGTCCCACATGGGGTTCCCTGCACGGAGCCTGCTTCTCCCTCTGCCTGTGTCTCTGCCTCTCTCAGTCTGTGTCTCTCATGAATAAATAAATCTTTAAAAAAAATACTGATTCAACAATTCCATACATCACCCAGTGCTCATTCTGACCAGTACATTCCTTAATCCCCATCACCAGTTTCCCCTATCCCCTCACCTACCTTCCCTCTGGTAACCATTAGTTTATTCTTTATAGTTAAGAGCTAATTCTTGGTTTGTTTTTTTTCCTTTTGCTTGTTTCCTAAATTCCTCAAAATGAGAGGTGCCTGCCTGGATGGCTCAGTTGGTTATGCAATGGCCTTCAACTCAGGTCATGATCTCAGGGTTCTGTGATCAAGCCCTGAGTTAGGCTCCCTATTCAGCAGGAAGTCTGCTTCTCCATCTCCCCCTGCTTCTGCTGTCTCCCTCTCTTGCATTCTAACAAATAATCTTTAAAAAAATTCCTCACGAGTGAAATTATGTGGTATTTCTTTTTTCTAACTGATTTATTTGCCTAACATTATACCCTAGCTCCACCTGCATTGTTGCAAATGGCAAGATTTCATTCTTTTTGATGGCTGAATAATATTCCATCATATATATCCATTTGCCAATCCATGGACAGTTGGGCTGCTTCCATATCTTGGCTATTTTAAACAATGCTGCTATAAACATTGGGATACATGTACCCCTTTGAATTAGTGTTTTTGTATTATTTGGGTAAATATTCAGTAATATGTTTGCATATTATTTTTTGCAATATACTATTGCAAGGTAGTTCTATTTTTTTTTAGGGTAGTTCTATTTTTAACTTTTTGAGAAGCCTCCATACTATTTTCCACAGTGGCTGCACCCACAGTTTGTATTCCCACCAAAGGTGCATGAGGGCTCCTTTTCCTCCTCATCCTCTCCACCACCTGTTGTTTCTTGTACTATCTTAGCCATTCTGACAGATGTGAGGTGATACTTTATTGTAGTTTTGATTTGCTTTTCCCTGATGATAAACATCTTTTCATATCTCTGTTGGCAATCTGTATGTCTTCTTTACAGAAATGTCTTCTGCCCATCTTTTAATTGGATTGTTTTCTGGATGTTGGATCTTATGTTTTTTATATATATTGGATACTACCCATTTATTAGCTGTGTCATTTGCAAATATCCTCTCCCATTCCGTAGGTTGCCTTTTAGTTTTGTTGATTGTTTCTCTCTGCAGAAGCTTTTTATTTTTATGTAGTCTCAATTGTTTGTTTTTTAAATTTTCCTTGCCTCAGGGGACCTATATAGTAAGAGTTACTTTATTCTTTGCATATTACTTTTTTTTTTTTTAAGATTTATTTGAGAGAGGGAGAGCACGTGAGAGTTGGGGGAGGGACAGAGGGAGAAAAAATCCTCAAGCAGATTTCCTGCTGTGCAAGAGCCTGACGTGGGGGTCTATCCCAGGACCCTGAGATCATGACCGGGAGCTGAAATCAAGAACTGGCTACCCAAATGACCAAGCCACCTAGACATCCCTAACAAATTAGGGATTTTTTTTAAGTAGGGTCCATGGGAGCCCAATGTGGGGCTTGAACTCACTATCCTGAGATCAAGACCTGAGGTGAGATCAAGAGTTGGGACGCTCAACTGACAGCCAGCCAGGTGCCCCACGTATTACTGGTTTTTTATTTGTAGTTACCATTAAGTTTATGTATAACATCTCTGCATATAGCAATCTATATTAAGTTGATGGTCATTTAAGTCTGAACCCATTCTTTACTCCTTGTCCCTTCCCCCTCCCCATTTTAGGTATATGTTGTCATATTTACTACTTTTGCTTCCTACCTTCATACCATCACTTTTGGTCTTTCCTTTCCACTGAGAGTCCCCTTTAATATTTCCTGCAGAACTGGCTTACTGGTCATGAACTCCTTTGTTTTTTGTCTGGGAAACTCTCTCCTTCTATTCTGAATGATAGTCCTGCTGAAGAGAGTATTCTTGGCTGCAGATTTTTCCCATTCAGCACTTTGAATATATCATACCACTGCCTTCTAGCTTGGAAAGTTTCTGCTGAATAATTCCCAGATAGCCTATGGAGTTTCTCTTGCATGTAACTGTCTTCTTTTGTCTTGCCACTTTTAGTTTTTTTATCACTATATTTTGCCATTTTAATTACAATATGCCTTGGTAAAGATCTGCTTTTGTTGATTTTGTTGAGGGTTCTGTGTTCCTCCTGGATGTAGATATGCTTCAATCATCAGATTAGGGCATTTTCCAGCTATCATCGCTTCAAATAAATTTTTTCTTCTCCTCTTCCTTTTTTTTCCTCCTCCTCCTATAATGCAAATGTTAGTATGTATGATGGAGTTACTGAGTTCCCTAAGTCTATTTTTGTTTTGCTTAATTCTTTTTTTCCCCTCTTTTGTTTACCTTAATTACTTTCCATTACTCTTCTAGGTCATTAATTTATTCTTCTGCTTTTTCCAGCCTGCTATTCATGGCATCAAATATGTGTTTAATCTTGTTTATTGCACTGTTCATCTCTGATTGGTTTTTAGCTCTGTGTTAAGGGTCTCACTGATGTTGTCCACTCTTTTCTGATGTCCATGAGTATTCCTTATGATTGTTGCTTTAAATACTCCATCAGACATGTCGCTAGTATCTGCTCACTTAGATCTCCAGCTGAGGCCTTGTCATGTTTTCATTTAGGACAAGTTTGTCTTCTCATTTTGTCTAGGTCTCTGTGCCTCTGTGTATTAGTAAAGTCAGCTATGTCTCCTGTTTTTGAAGGTTTTATGAGGAAGAGGTCCAGTAGTGCTCTGCTGTGTAGTGTCCCTTTTTTCCCAGGGCCTGACACTTTTGCAGTTGTCTCTAATGTGTGCTATGTGTGCTCTGCTCTTTTGTCTTGGATGGTTTTTCCTTCAAGGCCACTCATCTGCAGAGGCTTTTTGCCTGTTGTGGGCAGCATTTGGTCCCTGGCCCAAATGTAGTGGATGTGCTCTGGTCTGCTATGAATTGAGACTTGTCACCACCATTGCCAGAACCAAGGCTCTGAAAAACTCCTGAGTTGGGAGATGCATTGTTGGCAGAACAATCTTCTGGGGGAGGGGCAGCTGCAATGGGACTGAGGCAAGCGTGACTAGCAAGGGTGGTTCCACCAGAGTGTGGGAGGGGGTTGCTGGGTTTGGTGTAAGTAAGTTAGGTAGTAAGTATTCATGCTACACTGCCTCCCACAGGTGGCCCTGTGTTTATGCCGAGGTGCAGAGGAGGGAAACGGTGACTATCAGTTCTTCTGTTCCTGGAGGGATCTCTCTATAAATGCTGCCTCTCAGATCCCTGGGTGGCGCAGCGGTTTGGCGCCTGCCTTTGGCCCAGGGCGCGATCCTGGAGACCGGGGATCGAATCCCACATCGGGCTCCCGGTGCATGGAGCCTGCTTCTCCCTCTGCCTGTGTCTCTGCCTCTCTCTCTTTCTCTCTCTGTGACTATCATAAATAAATAAAAATTAAAAAAATTATTAAAAAAAATAAATGCTGCCTCTCTGGGACACACTCCAAGATAAGCCAATAGCCTTGGCTTATTCCCTGGACCCTGGAATTCATCGGATCATTGTTTCCATGCTGTATGTCCAAGTTGTTTGCCCTGCTATCCTCCAAGAGGAACCTCAAATGCCTCGGGGCTCTATCTGATCTAAGCCCACCAACCTTTAGGATTCCAGGCCTTCAGCCTCTCCTGATCCAATAACTCACAAAATTTGGCCCCTCGTGCTTTCCAAGCTAATTGATATGGATATTTGTTTTCCCTGTGCATACTCCTCTGTGGGAGTCTGTCTCTAGACCTTTTCCATCAGTGCAGCTCTCTCTCCACCATATTGGCCACAGTCCAATTCTCTCCCAAATCATGGCTCCACATTTCCTACTTTCTTTGATGTGGACTCTTCTCTACTTTTAGTTGTGGAGTTTGTTCTGCCAATCTTCAGGTCGATTTCTAGGGTATTTAGGATGCTTTGACATTCAGTTGTATTTGTGGGATGAGGTGACCCTAGGATCCTCCCTCTCTGCCACCATCATTCCCCCACCTCCAGAATTTTTTTTTAAGGTTTTGCTGTATCTGTGTTCATGTGAGTATTGCTCTGTAATTTATTTTGTTAAAGATTTATTTATTTATTTATTTCTGAGAATACACAGAGAGGAGAGAGAGAGAAGCAGAGACACAGGCAGAGGGAGAAGCAGGCACCATGCAAGGAGCCTGACGCGGGACTCAATCCCGGGTCTCCAGGATCAGGCCCCGGGCCGAAGGCGGTGCTAAACCGCTGAGCCACCTGGGCTGCCCTGTAATTTGTTTTAATATTATCCACATTTAGTATCATGTTAGTATTGGGTTCACTTAATTACTTGGGAAGTATTTGAACTTTGTTTTGGAAGACTTTGTATACAATTGGTACTGTTTTATCTTTTTTTTTTTAAGATTGATTGATTGATTAAGAGAGAGAGAGAGAGAGAGAGAGAGAGAGAGAGAGAGAGAGGGGCAGAGACACAGGAAGAGGGGGAAGCAGGCTCCATGCCGGGAGTCTGACGTGGAACTCGATCCCAGGACTCCAGGATCGCGCCCTGGGCCAAAGGCAGGCGCTAAACCGCTGAGCCACCCAGGTATCCCGTTTTATCTTTAAATATGCTGTAAAAATTCTTACATATTCCAGGGATGACCCTAAGCTGACGGCCACAAAGAAAACAGTAACATAAGACCTACAAACACAAGGAACTGAAATTGTCCGACAACTCAAATGAGTAGAAAACAGAATCTGTCTTAGAGACTCCAGAAAAGAACACATCCCTGCCAGCACCTTGATTTTAACTTACTGAGACCCATCCTGTGTGGGACTTCTGCTCTACAGTACTATAATGTAATTTGTGTTGTTTGAGCCATAGGTTTGTGGTAATTTGTTAGGACAGCACTAGAAAGCTAATAAATCAACATCATTCTGTGAGCATTTCTTTACTAATCCAAGAAAATTTCCTAGGCTCATGTACCTTTCCTGAACCAACCTGGAATTAGCCTCTAAGAAGTTCCAGTTCTTTTTACTGAAAAACTGCACCAATAAGAGGGCATTAAATATGTTCATGCCTACTGGATTCCACTGCTTTTAGGCTCTCTTAGAAGAGACAGGGGATATGTACACAAGTAAATATTTCTACATACATTGAAATCTTCATGTACATTTAAATCCACAAAGATTTCACGGGATTGGAAAGGACTCATAAGACTCCAGCATACTCAGATAAGGCTTTTATTTACAAACAAAGATAGAGTACCATAAGAGAAAAAGAATATAATACCAAACATGTAGTCCCTAACCAATACATAAGCTGAACTTCCTGAAAATTAATACATTCTAACCTAGGAAAGAGACTGTTAAGAAATGAAAATTTTAAAAAGAAAGAAAAATGAAAATCAAAGGCATAGACTATGAGAAAACATTGGTAAAGCATATATCAAATAGAGAACTTATATGTAGAATATATATCAAATCAGAAAACAGAAACCAACCAATTTTTCTAAAAGTAAGCAAAAAACATTAAATGATAATTCACTAAAGAAGATATATGGGTGGCAGATAAACACAGAGACTAATCCTCAACACTGAGTCATTAGGGAGACAAGTCAAAACCACACACCTACTAGAATGGCTGAAATGAATGGCCCATGTCTTATATACAGTCATCAGCAATAAGGTGAAGAAACTGGAAACCTAATACTGTAGGAGTAAATATGAAATGGCATTACACTACTTGGCAAGTTCTTATAAAGTTAAATATTTAGATCAACTTCCTGCATAACAGTGTGAGGAGCTTTGCAGGCCTGCTTCCCATTAAAACTGGGGGAAATTATAAAAACACAACTTAAAACTCTGGAATTGTCCTCAGATATAGAGCAAATGAGGAAACCCTTAAGAACATCTGATTATTTGTAAGAACAGCAAGAGACAATCACATTTGAACTAAGACCATTCCCTTTCTCCCCACTCCAGTGATAGAGCTGGAAACTCCACTCCAGACTAATACATCCAAGAACACAGGACTCCCTCTCCCTGGAGCTCCCAGGCAGAGGCCTATCTTCACAGGAGACAGAATGTCAGGATATTTGGATCAATGATGTTCAATTGCTATCTCCCTCAAAAAGGCTACCTTTAGAGTTCCTCTTTAAGTTAGGTTGACCATGAGACTGCATGTGTGCTGCATTCCTAAGGCCTCTCTCCAGTCTGAACATTTTGGTGCTTAACAAGGGTAAGCCTTTGGCTGAAGCCTTTCTTCACACGTACTGTATTCATGAGGCCTACTGGATTGTGATGTTTCTATTGCTGAACCAGAGCGGACTTTTGGTTAAAGGCTTTTCCACCTTACCCACATTCAAGACTTTTCTCCACTGTGAACTTTCTGGTGTTGAATGAGGTTGAAACGCTGGCTAAATGATTTCCCACAACTGCTGCACTCATAAGGCATTTCTCCAGTGTGAATCCTCCGATGTTTAACAAGGCTGGAGCTGTGGCGAAAAAATTTCCCACATTCCCTGCACTCATAAGGTCTTGCTCCAGTATGAACCCTCTGATGTTTAACAAGGCTAGAATTCTCACTAAAGTATCTTCCACATTCATTGCACTTAAAAGGCTTTTCTCCAGTGTGAACTTTCCGATGTTGCATGAGGCTAGAGCTTTGGCTAAAAAACTTCCCACATTCGGTGCACTCATAAGGCCTTTCTCCAGTGTGAACCCTCCAATGATTAATAAGGCTTGACTTGTGGCTATAAAATTTCCCACATTCACTGCACTTATAAGGTCTTTCTCCAGTGTGAACTCTCTGATGTTTCATGAGGCTCGAGTTAAAGCTAAAGAATTTCCCACATTCACTGCACTCATAAGGTCTCACTCCAGTGTGGATCCTATGATGCTGAACAAGTGTGGAATTATGCCTGAAGGCTTTTCCACATTCACTGCATGTAAAAGGCTTTTCTCCAGTGTGAACTCTCTGGTGTTGAATGAGGTCAGCATTGCGGCTAAAGGATTTTCCACATTCACTACACCCATAAGGCCTTTCTCCAGTGTGAACTATTTGATGTATAAAAAGATTTGATTTATGGCTAAATAATTTGCCACATTCACTGCATTCATAAGGCTTTTCTCCAGTGTGTAGTCTCTGGTGCTGAACAAGTAAGTATTTCTGACCAAAGGCTTTCCCACATTCGCTGCATTTGTAACGCCTTTTTCCAGGGTGAAAGGCCTCCCTGCTCTTGGTGCTTCCTTGTGGCTCCCCTCTGTCACGGGTCACCTGATGACTGAGAAAACCAGAACTAATTGGGAAGTCCTTTCCAACCTCTCCTGCCTCTTCTCTCCTTAATGGCTTCTCTCCACAGTGCAGCCTCTGGTGTTGAAGTTTTTCTCTGAGCACTCCTTTTAGGTAAACATTCTGCTCAAGAGGTCCTTCCTCAATCTCTGCTCTATGCCACCAACCTGAAAGCAAAGAGATGCTGAAATGTACATGGACTTCAGTGGAAGGAGATAACCTGCTTACAATTGTGTCTCACACACCCCATAAACAGTCCATCACATTACTGGCAGAATCAGGCCTGAGGTTCAGGGTGAGGAAGGGCTGCTGTGTGGTGCTAGACCCAGCAAGCTCACAGATTGGTGGGAGCCTCATGAGCAGCAAGGACACAAGGATGGAATGCAGCTCGAGGAGCAGACTGGGTCTCCAACACACTCTGCAAATAGCCTTCCACAAGGCTGATGATGATGACCCAGTAACACAGTGTGAAAAGGCGTGTCCAGGAACAGGAAAGAACCAAATGCAACTGAATAGCTGGTGTTCAAGGACTATTAAGGATACATGCACACCTCATAACATATTCAGTGAAAGCCTGTATCTGACCTTAAAAACTTCATATTCTGTTGCTGCCTCAGTCTCCCACAAACAGGATGTGAACTCTGCAACCACGCACACTAGTCTGATAAGGTGGGCTCCTGCCACAAGTCCTCCTTCCTACCCTCCCCTGACTGGGAACTAGCACCATGCAAATGCACCAGTGCAGTCCCCTCATTCCTTTCCCTGTGCATCCCACCCTGACTCCCAATAAAGGCACCTGCCTGCAGGTCTCTCTACTCCCCAGCATGGTTAAGCCCATTCCCATGGCACTCCCTCCCAGGGGACCTTCCTCCCAGAATTCAGTGACTGTCTCTCTCAGACCTGTGAGTACGATAAATTTTGTTTATTCCTGAGCCTCTACTGTCTCCTCCTATGGCTGCACCTGTCTTGTAAGTGAATACAAAATGACTGGCATCACAAATAGGATGGTTTGCTCATGGATGAGGGAGGATTTAGGAAATGCCCCTTAACTGCTTGGCTTACTAACCAGCTGTCCCAGTTGGGCCCTACCATCTGGGAAAGCTGAGTGTTGTGCTGGCATTCCTGTGTGCTGCCTTGTGCTGCTCTGTATTGCCTCTCTCAGGCACTGCCAAGGCTTTCCATCCTAAATTGTGGAGCTCATTCTCCTACAATACCCTGAGACTTCACTTCTAGCCAGTTTTGACTCCACAGGGAGCTAGTGAGGTAGAGGGGGTGTACTCCTGGTGCTCTCTGTTAAGGGATAGACTGGTATAACTGGATAAAAATATTATGAAGTCTCTACTGGGATCGAGGTTGAGAGTGAAAGGGTAACCTTGCACCCACCAAAGAAACACTGTATGTCAGGTATTGGCTATTAGCAGATCTGTCAACAGAGAAGGGCTGGGTAGCGCTGGGGAGATGACTCCTGTGGACTTGTGGCACCAGGACTGGGAGGTTTTTTGTGTTCCCATTCAAGTCCATGTTGCTCCTCAGTCCTAAGCAGATATACTGCATCACCTTCACAGGAAGTCTATCATGGCACCCTGTGAGGGTCAGTATTGCTGGCAACTCCTCCACTGCGTGTGTTGCTGCTGTTGCTCTTTGCCTCCCAATCTCATGGGTATCAATCCCAGGTCTTACCTCTGGAGATAAGTGGCACAACATCTAATGACCTAGAAGTTCAGCAGGAACATTTCATTCCAGCACTCTCAATAACCAGAGGAAGTTAGCTAATAATTCAAGAGAGGTAAAAACCTTTGAAACATTTCTGCTTAGTGACGCTATCAACTTGCCAACTCTGCTCCCAAGGTCCAGGGCCAATTCCCAAAGGACATCAGGCCACCATAGCTCTCGATGGATACCAATCCAGCTGAGCTCATCCTAAGAGATGGACAGGCCCATAGGAAGGAAGCATCCAAGGTCTTTCCAGACCCAGCAGGTCGAGAATACAGAAAGTAGAAATTAAAATTCATAACTTCACAAGACTGGAAATCCAAACTATTCTGGAAGATTTCATGTAAAGAGAAGGGGGAAAGGAGCTCACTGGTTACTGAGAACATTCAATACAGGCTTGCAACTCCTGCTCAGAGCCCCAGAGATGAAGCAGCTGCTGACATTACTAAAGAGCCTAAGATGCCTAATTTACTTTTTTTTTTTAATGGTTTTATTCATGAGAGACACAGAGAGCGAGGCAGAGACATAGGCAGATGGAGAAGCAGGCTCCTTGCGAGGAGCCTGATGTAGGACTTGATCCCAGGACCCCAGGATCATGACCTGAGCCACCCAGGTGCCCCACATTAACTTACTTAAAGATCCTCTGGCCCACCAAGTTCAAGTCCCACATGACATTTTTAGCTGAAGGCACCCAAATGCCAGAGCAGGAGTGACAGGCCAAAACTTTTGATGAGATTATAAAAGCCTCAGATGAGGAATCTGAAACTTCTACTACCCTTCAGGATTCAGAAGCCCTGCCTTTACTGACCTGGATTTTCATGGCCTAGAAATGGCCAACAGAACTATCAAGAAGCCCTTATGGTCCTCCACAAAAGTTGGAATGGTTGAGTGGATCTATCAGTACTTGAACACGTAGACAAGAAAAATCCTGAGTGGTTTTTATCCAGAGGAGGCCTCCTTTGTCACAAAGTCTAGGAGTTGTTCTTGTAGGTGGCCTTCTCAATACAGGACAACATTAATTTTATTAACATGTCCCACACCAAACAGGATGGAACTAATTTCTCAACATGCTGTAAGGGCTCCACCTACTCTGACTCACCAAGTCTGACTTACCATACTCTGCCTCCTAGTATGCAGGACCCCCATCTATACCATTCAGTCTGCATCTTTCCCAACTTCCTCTCACCCCTACTGCCCCCAGGTGACTGACAACAGAGACCCCGCGAACTAACTACTAGGCAAACCATCCCCAAATTACAACTAAACAAAGTATTTAAAAAGCCTCATCAGGGCAGCCCGGGTGGCTCAGTGGTTTAGCGCTGCCTTCACTCCACGGCGTGATCCTGGGGACCCGGGGTCGAGTCCCATGTCAGACTCCCTGAGTGGGGCCTACTTCTCCCTCTGCCTGTGTGTCTGCCTCTCTCTCTCTCTCATGAGTGAATAAATAAAATCTTTTAAAAAGCCTCACCAGGAGCACCTGGGTTGCTTAGTCGGTTAAGTGGCTCCCTTCAGCTCAGGTCATGATCTCAGGGTCCTGAGGCTGAGCCCCACATTGGGCTCCCTGCTCAGCAGGAAGTCTGCTTCTCCCTTTCCCTCTGCCTCTCCTCCCTGCTTGTGTTCTCTCAAATAAATTAATCTTAAAAAAAAAAAAAAAAAAAAAGAGCCAAAGAGCCTCATCCATATTACCCACAGGTCTGCTGGCTCGGGGAACCACTCCTCTGGAATCACCCAAAGATGCTTCGAGCTCCAAAAATGGCAACAGTCAAGGCCTCCAGTGAGGATTCAGCTAGTCCTCAGGCCTTGTCACAATCCCCAGGACAATCACCCATATACAACTCTGCTAATTCACTGGAATTCTTAAACATTTCTTAACTTTATGTACGACTGGAGCCCAAGTCACCACCATTCCAAGCCACCTATTCAGATTTAAAGGAAGTGCCCCTTTAAACTACAGGGTAATGCCAGTAAAATTACTTATGGCAAATAAATTTCTCAATGTCAATACTGCAGTGGTCTTTATTAAATGGCTACCTGTCACAGTGACCCCTAACACTGAGTTTTTCTGTTCTAGACAAAGATGCCAGTGCACACCACATACAAAGCTGAAGGAGCCAAGGTCCTTGGTCCTGCCAGTAAGAATCACCAAATGAAAACCTACAGGCCTGCTCCTGGTGGTGAAGGTCGAAAACACACCACAGTATCATCTGAAACTACTGCTGGCCTTCAAGAGTGCTGTACAAGATCTACTAAATGAAAGGGTGATTATTCCCATAATATCTCCTTTCAATAATCATATTTGGCCAGTCTTCAAGGCTTTTACCCACAGTGCCACTTACTATTGATTATTAAAACCCTAAAGTTTAAGTTTTCCCCATTAAAGCTCTAACACCTAACATAATTGAACTAACTGAAAATACCCAAGTGTGCCCAGTGACAACTTTGCTGTGATAGATCTGGGCAATATAATTTATTCAGTGCCTATTACCAGCCACAGCCCCTGTTTGCCTTTATCTTTCAAGGAACCCAACATACATTTATTGAGTTGTCCATGAATAATTTAAACAGCCCAGTGACTCCACAATCTATACTGTCAGGACCCAGACAGGGTCCCCCCAAAGAACCTTGTTTGCTTACACCATCTGCCTTTGTTCCCAACTATACTCTCCTAGGTGGCTGCACTTTATAATCAAGTCACCCCCACAAATGTACTGCTTGTGCTCAGGAGCCAACTGCACTTGACCTATTTCCCATGTTAGGTTTTTTGCCCTCCTTAATGCTAACTACCTCACAGGCCCATATACTTTAAATAACAGCACCTCAGGGGCACCTGGGTGGCTCAGTCGGTTAAGCATCCAACTCCTGGTTTCAGCTCATGATCTCAGGGTCGTGGGATCAAACCCTGCATCAGGCTCCCCACTCAGCTCAGAATCTGCTTGGGATTCTCCCCTTCTGCCCCTCCCCCCATTTGCATGCTCTCTCTCTCTCCAATAAAGCAGTAACTAACAGCATCTCTGGATTCTACTGCAGGCCAAACCCATGGGCATAGCACTTTACAAACTTTCCCCTACTGACTCCCAATGAGTCTATACCCCAATGTGCAGTGGTTACAGAGGATCCCCATGGTTCTTTATCCACCAGGC